ATCCCCTGCTTGGCCAGTCAGCAGCACTGCTGCTGCTTCTGTGTGGCCTGCCAAGGACTGTACTTCCACATGTTGTGCTCTAGGAAAGGACAGAGCCCCAAGCAGCATCTGACAGTAAGGGTGACAGACAGGGGAGACAGAGACTTTGGGGAGCAAGAGGCAGAGACTGCGGGGAGCAGACAGAAGAGGCAGAGGTTGTGAGAAGTGGGTGGGTGAGAAATGTGCATAGATTGTAGGGAGTGGGTGGAGGAAAGGTGCAGAGATTGTGGTGAATAGGAAGGGGTAATGGTTGTGGGGAATAGATGGGGAAAATGGGCAGAGATTGTGGGAAGCTAGGAGGTGCAGGAAGTGGAGGGGGAAAAAAGACTGCCTGGGGAAGAAGCTGAGAGGGGAAGAAGGCAAGGGGCTGAACGAGCCCTCCCCCCAGCCATCTGACAGTCCTCCAGCCACTGCCTTACCTGCTGTAGCAGCTGGGTGGGGAGGGGAACAACTTTAAGACAACCTACCAAGTGTTAGATTCTATATCTGGAAAATCATAACAAGTTTATAAATATTCCATATATAGAATCTAATTGAGAGGTTGTCTTGTATTCAGAGTTGCCTTATATTAAATATGATAGTATGATGATTTACAGGGACTGGGTTTGTAGTTTATTTTGCAGTTGAATATCACTGGCAAGCTCTGACCCCACATTAGATAGGTCTGCTCCATTGTAAAAGATAGTATCTCAGAATAATAGAAAATTAGGGTTGGAAGGGACCCCCGGAGGTCATCTAGTCCAACCTCCTGCTCAAGGCAGGACCATCCCCAACTTAATCATCCCAGCCAAAGCTTTGTCCAGCTGGGTCTTAAAAACCTCCCAGGATAGAGATTCTGCCACCTGTCCAGGTAACCTGTTCCAGTGCTTTATTACCCTCCTAGTAAGAAAATTCTTCCTAATATCTAACCTAAATGTCCCTTGCTGCAACTTGAGACCATTGCTCCTTGATCTGTCATCTGCCACCACTGAGAACAGTTTAGCTCCATCCTCTTTCGAACCCATCTTCAGGTAGTTGAAGGGTGCTATTAAGTCCCTTCTTAGTCTCCTCTTTTCTAGGCTAAATAAGCCCAATTCCCTCAGTCTTTCCTCACAAGTCAAATCCTCCAGCTCCCTCATCATTTTTGTTGCTCTCTGCTGGATGCTCTCCAATTTGTCCACAACCTTACTGTAGTGGGGGGCCCAAAACTGAACACAGTACTCCAGATGTGGCCTCACCAGTGCTGAATAGAGGGGAATAATCACTTCCCTTGACCTGCTTGCAACACTCCTCCCAATGCAGCCCAGTATGCCATTAGCCTTCTTTGCAACAGTGGAACACTGCTGGTTTATATACAACTTATTCTCCACTGTAAACTCCAGGGACTTTTCTGCAGAGCTGCTGCCCAGCGAGTCAGCCCCCAGCTTGTACTGGTGAATGGGACTGTTCCATCCCAAGTGCAGGACTTTGCACTTGTCCTTGTTGAACCTCATTAGATGCCTTTTGGCCCAATACTCCAATTTGTCTAGTCACTCTGAATCCTAGCCCTACCCTCCAGCATATCTACTACCAGCTTACAAAACGCCTGGACGCAGGAGTAGGGGTGGATGTCGTATACTTAGACTTCAGGAAGGCCTTCGATACGGTATCCCATCCCATACTGGTGAACAAGTTAAGAGGCTGTGACTTGGATGACTACATAGTTCGGTGGGTGGCGAATTGGCTAGTGGGTCGCACCCAAAGAGTCGTAGTGGATGGGTCGGTTTTGACCTGGAAGGGTGTGGGCAGTGGGGTCCCACAGGGCTCGGTCCTTGGACCGATACTCTTCAATGTCTTCATCAGCGACTTGGACAAGGGAGTGAAGTGTACTCTGTCCAAGTTTGCGGATGACACAAAACTGTGGGGAGAAGTGGACACGCCGGAGGGCAGGGAACAGCTACAAGCAGACCTG